CTGTCACTTTATCCTGTGCTAGACAAAGATAGAATTACGGCTGTTCGAAACGGCAGTACCCGGGAATCGCTACCGAGCTCAAATGAAGTACGCAACCGCGCTTTTCTCATCTTCTGTATAAGGAGCTTATACCATTTTCACTTTAAATTCACCCTTTTTCAAACCAAATTCACCCCTTTTCAAACCAAATTCACCCTCACTTTTCAATCAAATTAACCACACTTATTAGGGCGGGCAACTCATCAACCAGATCACGCCAGACATCACTGCGAGCCCCGCCCCGACGGCCACGCCCACTTGTCAGCGCGGACATAGATTCTCAAATCTTGTTTCATAACTTCTGCTTTTGCTGTTTCCCACAAACACTTTGACTGGAAACGACCGGGCATTGACACATGGCCGACTCCGCCCATTCTCTGAAGGGTTTGGCAATCTGGGCACCGCCCCCTTGACCACGCCCACTTGCTTTTCGCGGAATTTTGATATTTTTTAATTTTTGCATTTTAGGGCTGCTGCGTGAAGCCCCGCCCACTGTGAGAGGCTCCGCCCACTTTGAAGAAGCCCCGCCCACTTTTCAAAAATGGTGCAACGGCAGTATAGAGTCTCGGCTGGCATGCTAGGGTATTGCTGATCATTCGGAACAAACTTTGCCTGATTTTCTTGTTCCGAGTGACGAACGACGTCGGAGTAGGCCGAGTTTTATGGAGCAGTCCAAAAAATGCAAAAATTTTGAAAAAAATATCAAAATTCCGCGAAAAGCAAGTGGGCGTGGTCAAGGGGCGGAGCCTAGATTGCCAAACCCTTTAGAGAATGGGCGGAGTCGGCCATGTGTCAATGCCCGGTCGTTTCCAGTCAAAGTGTTTGTGGGAAACAGCAAAAGCAGAAGTTATGAAACAAGATTTGAGAATCTATGTCCGCGCTGACAAGTGGGCGTGGCCGTCGGGCGGGGCTCGCAGTGGTCTAGGCGTGTCTGGTTGATGAGTTTCCCGCCCTAATAAGTGTGGTTAATTTGATTTGAAAAGTGAGGGTGAGTTTGGTTTGGAAAGGGGTGAATTTGGTTAAGGGTGAATTTGGTTTGAAAAGGGGTGAATTTGGTTTGAGAAAGGGTGAATTTAAAGTGAAAATGGTATAAATGTGCATATGTCAGTATCCATAGTGCTGAGGTGAGATATGATCTTACATGGCTATAAGTTCATACGGAGAGGGGGCTTAAGAATGGTCAAGCGCTAGGATTACCTCTCGAGGAGTAGCGATTCTTGGTGAAAGTCTAAGAACTTATAAGTGACAGTCGAGTTATAATGATTATGAGGGAGTAAAAGGTCAAGAAGTGGGATTTCACTGAAGAATAAGATAGCAGACAACTACGATTGCCATCAAGGTTTCATAACTTTGAGAAAAATAACGGTAAGAGAGGGTCGAGACATTGGGGAAGGTGCAGAAAAGTTAGTAGTGCGCTGAGCAGACAAAATTTGCAGATGGGTAATAGCAAGATGGGCATGGACTATTTTTTTTCCAAAATCGATGTGAGAATGAATAGATAAAATTTTAGCACGAAGAAAAGGTTAGAATGTATAGGGCACTCAAGAAAGGTAGCATTCGCATAAAGAGTGGAGTATGGCATCCGCAGATTGGGGAAGAATGGACTGCGGGAGCAGACTCAGGTACCTGCACAGGGGATATGGAGGAGAGAGGAAAACCTTTGACGTCTGAATAATTATCAGAGTGTTGATTGAAAGAACCAGGGAGAAGTCGATTTCTTTACCTTCTGCCAACAGATTTGCACATGGAGTCATTTTCTTGGGTACGTTTTTCGACGCTCCTCGTTTTCTCGAGATCCAAAGTTCTTCAGCCTCTAGTGGAAGAGAAATCCGCCCCAGTAATTCTACTCAGCAGCACCAACGATCGTTGTAATGCTGAACCTGACTTGAAGAAGGGAAAGTTCGAAACTTCAGGCCGAGTTGACAGATGTAAAAAAATATTAGACTCATGCCAGGTTTAGCAGTAAACATAGAGAGAAGGGATTATGCTAAGTAAATAGAGACATGAAAGAAGGCGTGTTAGAATTGGCAGGAAGTCCAAGAAAGAGATTAGCTCGAGAAGAGACAATGGAAGTTTTGAAACGCGGCTGTCTTATCGAATTGTTTGCCGATGTTTCCTCGATAATATCGAGATTTCGCGTTGGACCATTCGCGCACGGTAAATAAAAAAAACATGTTTCCGAAGAACTCACTCTTGAGGATTTAACAGTGCATTATTGGCTATACATGACTGCATCGCACTCTCGAGATTGGGTTTTCCTTGAATACAATCGATAATCGGCACGATTTTATCGGGAAATCCTACACGATCGATGACGCAGTTCATCAGCTGATTTAAGATACATTCGTTGGCTTGGTGCTGACAGAAACATCTGGAAAAATCGAAAATTCGTGTTGAACAAGTATTGCTTGAAAGCGGAAGACCAGTGTCATGGGTGAGTGGTAGAATGACGGCCTTCCGGAATTGCGCATGAGAGCAGCTGGTTGTTGTCGACGAGTGCAGTTGACAGCGTTCGCACTTCTCAATAACGCGTGTCAACGCGCTGTAACGCCCTATGATTGCAACAGCGCTCTATTGCAAGACGCAGACCGGAATCGATCGGTGTTGAGAGCATGGGAACAGGAGGGTACGGCTTGCCGTGGTACGCTCTGTGACGCGCGTCGACGCGCTATAATTGCAACAGGGCTCCTGACTTATAGACGTAAACGCAGCCGCAGACGGGAGTCGATCGGCGCCAGCCGCTTGTGTTTTGAGAGAGTATAGGATAACAAGAGGGCAGACACTGCTTTCACAAAATCTAGTTTTGTCCCATTCTCTATACCCTCCCAGAGCCTTGGGCGCCTGTGCCGATCGATACCATACTGCGTGGTTAGCAACGCGTATCCTCTTGTTCCCCGATACTCAACACACAAGCGGCCGGCGCCGTCCTTGGCTGATTCGCATTCAGCATTAAAGCGCTGTTGCAATTGTAGCGCGCTACAGCGTATCGACGTGCGTCATCGTGGAGTCTGAACGCTGCTTTACTCGCGACATCGTTCCATTTTTCAGTAAGTCAACGAGCATGTGAAATTAATACTAGAACCCCATTTATGCAATCGCAGAGTGTTTTCAATGCATAACTGACACACCACTTTATATATCACGCGAAACCTTTTTATCGTACCCTATGGAGGCTCTACACGCTATGGACGCACATGTCTGAGATGCCAAAAACCACTAAGCCATGTTTCATTCACGTTTCATAGTAATCACATAGCAGTAAAAATGTGGAACTCACTCGAAATCATTGTCCTTCGCAGTACAACGTGCCTTTCCAAAAGGGATCAAAACAAGTTCCACTCTACCCGTTTGAGATAACAACGACCATGCCTTCATCAGTTGCTTGTGAAGGAACCTGAAATTTTTATACGCTGAAAAAATTGATGAGTGCAATATTTAATGGGGTTTGCTGCCCAGTTGGGCTTTACTTTCTTGCATAGCAGAGCCTGGCCGATATGGTGGTTTTGAAAATAGCACGGCTTATGTATTACACTAATGATCCCTAACTAACTATACTTATGTGGCAATCATTCGTTACGGTGTCAGGAGGGGCGGAACGAACTCGTCTCTAGCTGCATTTTCCACCTATAATAGTCGGGTAGTCATCAGTCAAGAAAGAAAACAACCAGTGGTAGATAATGCCGCTAATGCGCCCATTCCATGCCTCTTGACACCGCTCCGAGTGATTACGGATTACGTCTGATTACTGTACTCGCCATTCAGATCAGCAAAACAGTCAATCCTTCCGAGATTCGTGGATAGGTACTGTGCTCGTAAGGAGCGTGAAATCATTCATATCGGATGGCCAGAAGGGGCGTCACGGCAATTGCTGCGTACTCTCAACCCGTCTCTCTTTTATACATAGTCAGAACATCCAAGCATCTCAACCGCTCGGAAACGATGATAAAAAAAAGAAGAGTGGACGGACATTTCATCTCATGATCCTGTGTTGTTCATCTCTTGAACCTGCCTTAGCAAATCATTAGCAAGTGATGAAATTTCTGCCTTTTTTCATTTCAGCGTTATACCTAGCGCTGCAGCTGCTCGGATGTTCAAGGACTTGTCCGCATTTCTACCAGTTATACCCTCCCAGTTTTCACGGCTAACGCATCCTTTACCTCACTCATCAAATTCACAATGAGTGTTAGGTATATTACGGTAGGTATATCTGTTCAGCAATGAGATCATCCATAGAAACGTACCTCGAAGTGTCGGGACATTGCGATTCCATGTAGACCTCCAATTTTACGGTGTTCAGCTTGGGCGCTGTAGCGGTCTCAGGCAACATTATCTAAATAAAAAATTTCCTGAGGACAATTCATGAACCATTCCTCTACTACTATTTGGGACTTTTCCTAGTTATGGATCTTTCGATTTGATTTCTTTATTTTTTTATTATTAATTTCAGGCAACACCGGTTAATTTCTACATACGAACAATTTTTCTCGACAACGGCCACAGGGCACAGGAGTGCAGTGTGAGGGCAACAAGGGGAGGTAGTTGCGAGAGTGGCGGGGTCCACATCGAAGAGAGGCAAAACGCGTACAGTCTAAGGTGTAGAGTCGGGAATATCGCGTAGTGTGGCAAGAGAATCGTAAACTCGCCTGCGGCAATCGGGCGGTACGCAAGCGACGTTGCTCCCCCCTTAATACGACAATTTTAGGTGTATTGGTCGACGGAGTAGACGATGTATGCCTATAAAAATAGGCGATAACTGTCTACCATAACGTTCACATTAAAAATGCCGATGCCCAATGGGAGGGCAGTGCAAATCAGGAAAACGTCGCGCCCATTGGCGCGCGCGACGAAGTGACAATTTACGATTCTTTTGCCCGTCTACCGGAACATGCAGCCATCGCTGGGACGTCCTTTTTCGCCTCTGCTCTCTCTCCTTCTTGCTTGTTGCTAGACACTGTTTAATCTTGCATCCATTGAGCAGTTCTTAGGCAGATCTTTCAAGTACGGAACCCACCGGAGAGTTTTATAAAAATTAAACAAATAAGATATTGCACTTTGTTTTCAGGATGGAACTATAATTAAATTTTCTGACCAATATTTTCGACAATAATTTTACTGGGCTGAAAAAGAGAAGCACCTGCATTGCTACCTTCAGCGCGCTGGGGGTATGGCGAAACGTCTTTCCACCAATGGGGTTGGGAATGATGCCACAGCTCCCAGTCAGCATTACGATGCCTTTTTAGGTTTCTGCTGATGGTTTTCAGTAGTTTTCCTGCGAAGCAGTAACTCAATCTTGAACGACTCAGTTTCGTATCCAGTGTGATAAAGCAATTAGAAAAAAAATGGAAAATAAAAGAATAAAATAAACAAAAAGATAGTGAAAGAAATGCTTCTTGGCATCGCTCACTTTCCAAAAGAATCGATTCGCTTGTGATAGATCTGCCAGATGATTGGAGCAGTTGCGTCGAAAGAACAAACATTGCAGATTTTCCAAATCACGCTCAAGTAATACCAGTGGATGTGAACGGTTTGGCAGTTCCGTTCGGACGGCATGGACGAGATGCACCGTCAGCGCCAGTGCCAACAATGATAACATTCTATGGGATTCCGTGATAAGCAGACAATAAGGCCGATTACGTCGCTCTGGAAATCGCTACGCGAACATTACGATTGTGAAACGAGAGTGAGATGAGCGATCTAATGATCTGGCTGGTGTCATTAACATCGTTAATAAAATTCTGAGACAACAGACTGGTCAATGGACAAGGTCAGTACTAGCTGGAACAACTTCGCGGCCTCTATGTGATGGTATTTATGAGCGACTTTTTCGCTTATCGCAGTACAACCTGGACCACCTCAATGAGAAAACGTGAACGGCCAGCCGAGGGAGATCGCTGATGACTCCGCTATAACTAGTCTACCTCTTAGCATCCTTTTAACAACCACATTATGACCACTATTCTCTGCTACAAAACAAGTCATTGTGCTTTTGATAGCTTTACATGGAATCCTTTGATCTGGTTCTAGCCTAAAGAAGAGCCCGAGAGAAATCAAGCACTCGCTGCGCTGCGATTGCAGGCGAAGCCTTTCAAAAACATAATACCATCTAAAACTGGTGAAAGTAAATCAACTTCGAAGAACAGGTGTGCATCGTGTACGCGACAGACAGCCGATAATCGGATATGGAAGGATAGTGAAAGCGAGAACAAGAATTTTCCGATCATCGCGTCATCCTCTTCAAAATTTGGCCATAAATAGGTACATCAAGTGGCCGGACATGAAGGTAATAACAAGTCAACAACTGGTGCTATTCCAGGCTCTCGATCAACTGGTCACGAGTTTACTGCAGAATGATTAATATCCAAAAAATCAAGTGATCTATGATGGTCCTTCTATACATTTCCATGAATCGGTTTATGCGCATTTTTTAGAGTCCAAGAATTGAGATATACTCAGAGAACGGCAAAAATAGCTAAAGACATCTTCCACCACAAGTTCGGGCCTTCTCTTTCTTCTCATCGTGAACCCCCATGTGTAACTGGCTCAGACATTCAGTCACGTGTGAAAAACCCGCTAAAACCACACTCACGGACAGACTAAAAAGAAGAACAGGGTCAAAACCTGCGTAAAATGGAACCTACCTTGACCAGAAGGTAAATTAGCTATCAGATCTCACCACGAATCCTCTTGATCGGACAACCCTTTACCCTACAAATCAAGGGGGTAATCTCAAAGTCAAGGTAAGTCAAGTCGTCTCAATCGACCGATACCGTTAGTTGGTCTACCAGTATCTCGGAATGGTGCTTATTTTTTCCTAGGGCGTTTGAGAGCACAAATCTCATCTGTTTTTGACTATTTTAAGTTCTGACGAAGGCAGAGGAAGCCGAAACGTTGGCTTTAACAAAACTGTAACAATCTTAGGCGGTTCAGATAAACAACTCAGAGGAAGTCACAGTCACATCCATGCCAAATTTAAGCAGAAGTTGGTCCTGGTGGAATCTTCAAAGTGCTTCGGGCCTTGAGAACGACTCATGAGCTTCCTATCTTTTGGATCGTATGTTGAAAGGGCTATTGGTCCTACTGCAATCATAAGGTGTGGAAAGGAGGTCACCGTATTAGGTAAGTATACAGTTTGGTAGGACATCAGCGACTCCGCTCAAGTGTATAGAGAAGAGCGCTACACCTCTACGAGGTAGCACTGGCAGATACTGAAACACCGGGCGGGCGATGAAAGGAAAGTTGAAAAGGAGGCGATGACTAGAACTAATGTGATGACGAAACATTCCAAAAGATAACGTAACGCCAAAAACTCCAGTAAGGACATTGGAACAAAGAGACACTAGGAACTCCCAGCTGCACTATCTAGTTTATAAGCATCCACGTTCAGAGCCTGGAAAAATCAAAGATCAGGGTGAAACTATCCCTCAAACATCATTTCAAACCTCAGGTAAGTTCACCCCAGACCAGAGGGGTCCAGAAACCTGCCGTACATTCAAGGTGAGTCATGTTGTGGTTGTAACCTATGACAGGTTTCTGGACCCTTCTGGTCTGGGGTGAACTTACCTGAGGTTTGAAATGATGTTTGAGGGATAGTTTCACCCTGATCTTTGATTTTTCCAGGCTCTGACGAAGGCGATAAGGCCGAAACGTAAGCCAAATAAAACTGTTGTATCATCTTGGTTCGGCTACAGTAATATCCTAGACAGAAACTATCTAGTTTATTTTCTGGGGTATAAGGTGCAGCCTTCCTTGGTGGCAACGCACAACAAGGGCATGGAGTAACGAACAGGACATTTTCGATCAACTGTTTTTGTTTTTCGAATGATTGGGTGGAGGAAACTATTGATAATGTTCTATTATAAACTTTTGCACATGAGTCTTGTGATGTTGATAATTTTACGAGATGAGACTGGCAAGTGATAAAATTATCGATAGCTGAAAACAGCGCATTTTCCCGTTCAAAGCATTCGCGGCATTCGAGGTGAAAGGGCGGCTTATACACGGGTTCATTCACCCCAGAAAATACCGTACATTATGGGTTAAGTGACCGTACTAATCACTAGAAATTCCCAACAGATCAAAAATATGTCCATCCCTTCACAGAACAGGACACATCGTTGTTAGGGAATCCCCAATGGGGGTCGTATTTGGTCGCCAGGAGGGGGTCGTATTTGGGCTGAGAAAAATTTATTTTGATAGTTGATTTTTCTCGCTTCATGGACGTTGTAAAGGGAGGGGGGGTCGTATTTGATCATTTTTGGGAGGGGGGGTCGTATTTACGTTTTGGCGTTGTGGGAGTGGCGGTTGACTTTTGGTGATTTTCCTGTTTCATGCGTACTATATGCCCCCGCTCGACGGCTCGATTCGATGAGGAAGGACAGAGGGCTGGGGGGAGGGGGGGGGGTCGTACCAACTCCCAAAAAAAGGGGGGTCGTATAGAGTCGACTAAACCAATGACGTGCCCTGTCACAGAAGACATTTAGAGATCTGGATGCTGTTTGGCCGATGACCTTCCATTTGTGTCCTGAGCATTTTTGACAAAGAGCGGTCCTGAAGCTGCCGGTAGCACTGCTTGGGGCGAAGCTGATAGCCTGTGAACCTTTCATTTTCCTCAGACTTTCAACCTTATTCTTGAGAGAACTGACAAGTGATTCTCCGACGTTTAGCAACGGCATTGTACAGTTGGTAAACGTTGACAGATTTGCTAGCAATTCACTGCAGTTTCGAACAGGAAGGAACCGAAATATAAATTATAGTGCGGACGAGCAACTGTGACCAGGTCGACAAAGCTTCAAAAACGGGAAATTCCAGTTGTTATTCGTTGTGAACTCTAGCCCTGAAACGTTTTGAAGTGAGGCACTTATCAGGCTTAGAATTGGTCCCCCTAACCAAATTGGTTGGGTCCTTGTTAGCAGTTCAGATTCCGTAATTCTCTTTTTTGGTGAGGAATCCTGGACATATACGTGGAATTATTTCCACAGGGTAACGTAGGACCTGGCCCAGTGTTTTGATTCTCTGTCTCTGCCACGAGGTTTTTAGCTGCAATTTTATTCGCCACCCAAAAACCTCGTGACAGAAACAGAAAATCAAAGAAATATCAAACAATGCCGAGGTGCCAAGACAAGAGGAGTTGGGACTCGGTCCAGTATCTTTTAAATGACTCCAAACCCCTGAAGTATCTTATTAAGTGCTTTTCAGCGTTCCTTGATTAGGTTTTTTTTCAACCGTAACCTAATTTACCGCATGGTCTGATGATCCTCAGTTCTGTAATAAAAAACTGCGGAGGCTGCTGGCGGTCGCGGGCGCAACAAAGCTGAGGGAACAGTGAGGTATTAGATTCAGGGCACGTCCTACCAGTGGGATAAATCAGAACAATACGATCTCCCCTCCCCCCATAATTCCATCCTCTCATGCCCTCTCTTTCACATTCAACCACTTTCCTGGATTCATCCAACTTTCCACCCCTTTTCCACTTTTTCTTTCGCGATTTCCAGTGGCTTTGCTACTTTTCCCCCCACAATTTCGCTATAGAGCGGGGGAAAGAGAGGGTAGAGGATCGTGAAAAAAAATCAGCTATCAACAAAAAATTCTCGGACTGAATACGACCCCCTCCCCGTTGGGAATTCCCCAACGTGCGATGTGGTCTGATTAGTTTGTGGGCATAATAAGCAGGCATATTAAGCACTGGAGTGGGTACGCTGCAAATAAACCTAGCGCAGTCGCATGTAGTGTCCCATGAAGTTCAAGTGGTCAAGTGCCCATTGCAAGAAAACCTTCGATATAATCTGCCATGCGAAGGAAACGAAGAATGCCAAAGGCATCATACGATAGTAGCGAAAAAGGGACAGAGAAGAGCAGAGAGCTATATGTATAAGTCCGGGAGATTGTACTGCAAAGGTAGGGAATGCAACTGGTATATCTACAAGCCTTCTTTGGGTTGATGGAATGAAACTCTTCCAAGTCTTTTATTTCTCGGCGACGTTTCGGGCCTTAAGCCCTTCTTCGAGAAATAAAAGACTTAGAAGAGTTTCATTCCATCAACCCAAAAGAAGACTTACAATACAATGAAGCTCAGGAATCCTTTAGTATTACATGGTATATCTACAACGAAAATCCTCTAGCGCTGCAAAGAGCTTCTCTAGATATCCGCAAAACTATGTAGAACCTCAGCAAGGGCGCCATTCGGCGACGGGGGGGGGGCATTTTGCACTTTTGCTACTTCCCATCGACGTGTCGACCCATCTAGAGAGCCTTTTCGTGAGTTGACAGGTTTCACCATTGTGGCTCGATGAGCTTGCTCCAGCTTCAAGGGAGTTCACAGGTTCATGAGGCAAAGTATGAAAACCGGAACCAGTGAAACAAGAAAAAACAAAATCCCCCCTCTCCCCATCGTCGTCGAACTGCCCCATCCGCAATATTATGAAAAGTTAACACAAGCAATAAATGATCGTCTTGAATGACTGCGATTGAAAGATCAAGGCCAATTGAGTGTTCTCAGGAATAGAATAGCTTGTCCACCTCATGCATAAGATATAAGACCGGAACACAATGACAAATATCACTTTGTGTGATTTTACACTGAGCCATGAACACGTT